TGTGTGTGAACGGCAAATACGTGTCCAGGATGCTCTTTCTTGGAAGTGTGATAAAAGCGTGATGACAATAATTGCGTGTGATAGCCATTTACGTATTGTGGGGGCTCTTTCGGTTCATTTTGGTATAGTACTGGATTTATTCTTATTTCAGTTTCTTATCGCTTTGTGGCCCGCGTGTGATAAGGTCTTTATGGAGACACTATAATGATAAACCTATCATGGGGTTTTCTTGGCACATTTCTTCAGAGGGGGGTTGCCATTGCCAACCTCTGAGGCTGAGAGTGTGCTCAATGTCACCCAGTGGGTTTCCATGACTGAGCCGGGATTTGAACCCTGTCTTCAGAGTCCTAGTCCAATGCCCAAACCACTGCACCACGCTTGCCCTTCAGTCCTTCAGTTTCAATTTCTCCCACATGCCATTTTTCCATCCCAAGCCTTCTTAGTGACTGCTCTCACACCGTGGAACTCCTACCTATAGAAGCCTAGGTCAGCCCACTCTATGATCTCTTATCTTCTTCAGGGGGAAAACTTTTTTATATAAGGTGTAGAAATATTGCAGTTTGACATCACTTTAAGTGCTGTAGTTCCATCCTATAGAATCCTGTGATTTGTAGATTTACAAAGTTGGTAATTATCTCTGGTAAAGCATAGTTGTGCCTCACAAAACTACAAATCCCAGGATTCTGCATTATGGTGCCATGGCAGTTAAAGTGGTATCAAACTGCATTATTTCTGTAGTATAGATACGTCCTTTACGGGACTTCAGTCTTCAAATGGGTTTGTCTGAAGGGGTTTTTTAAAACTTGATCTTATATCTTTAAGTATTTTAATATGATTACAATTGTGTTTTATTTAATTTTTTGCAGTAATGTAAATGTGAAATGTGGATCTCATATTGGGCAAAGGGCAAATTTTTCATTCATTCATTCATTCATAAGCAGTTACAAGAATGCAAAAATAAATGGATCCAAGAACAAATCAAACCTGATCTCTCCTTAGTAGCCAAGATCGCTAAACTGAGACTGCCACACTTTGGATATATCATGAGAAGACATTACTCATTAGGAAAAAGTGTTTGATAAGATGGGAGACTGTAGGAAATGAAGAAGAACTCATTAGAGATGAATTGATTTAATTGAGGAAGCCCTGCCCCTTAATTTGGAAGATCTAACAGGGCAATTGATAAGCAGGACTCCTGGAGATCTCTCATTCACAGAATCAGTCAAATTGACTTGACAACAATTAACAACATAACACAACAAGTTACCAATCTGAAGAGAAATGTGCAAAGTTCTTGCCAAAAAGAAAGATGCATTTTAATATGATTTGGCAGATTGTTCTGAAACTGAGCACTAATTTGTGTGCATACTATCCTTTCATTTAAGTGCATAATAACACTTAATAAGCCTAATGTGTCTAATTTCCATCCCATTTTCCCAGTCACACATTATAAATTTCCAACTACAAATCTTTCTCCAATGGCACATTCTGTGCCAAACTGCCCGCTTTTAAAAAGTGATGATGCCCCACCCCAGCACTTTCCACTTCTGCTCTTAATTGCCAGACCCAGTCCATTTTGACCTTTGGGAAATTCATCCATCTTCTTCTGCAGCTTGTTTCTAATTTACTTTCAGTCCCTCTCTATCTTGTATGATATAAGCCTAGGACCTCTGACTTGGCTGTACCACAAAACCTAAAGAAGAGATTTCAAAAAGTTTCAGGAATCAAAGAGTGCTTAGCATTTCTTTCCACATCACCACATGCTTTCAGATTCTCACACTTGTATACACCTCTGAAATTTGCCCTGTGGACCTACCAGGACTACTGCCTTCCTTGGCCAACTTTCCTTTTCACTTTATCTTTTTAAAACAAGCTATGTCTTCATTCTGTATCTATTATCATTCAAGAGAAGAAAAAATGTGTTTTCCAGGTGAGTCCCTTTTGACTCCAGGATGGTACTGGCCACTTAAAACAGGTTTGGTGTGTCCCACAGTGATGCAAAAATAATAAGAAAGAACAGAAAGTGGATACATCAACAAGATTGCTCTATGCTTTCAAGTTATTTCTGACATATGATGGGTTTTCTGGGCATGTTTTTTGCAGATGGGATTTGCTAGTGCCTTCCTCTCAGGTTAAGAGAATGTGAGACTTGCCCAAGGCCACCCAATGAGTTTCCATGGCCAACTGGGGATTTGAATCCTGGCCTCTCAGAATCCTAGGGGGTGTCCACACAGGCCACATCCTACACAGGAGGTAGTCCAGACAATACAGGGCCTAATCTCCAGTTCTGATTCAGCACCAAACCTACCATATATCTCCCTTAAAATGTTTTTTTTAATTATTATTTTTTAAAAATCGCTTTTTGTTGTGGTTCTTCCAGAATCCTCCAAAATGATGGCAGGTGGCTGTTTACATTTGTGTTCTGCTGTGCCATCTGCTGCCACAAGTCATGCCCTTTGAGATCAGAACAAGGTCTCCATCTGAGCACCTCATTTTCAGCCTCAGCAGGGAGGCTGATAATGAGGGAGCAGTGGGTGGCACAGTGGGACACGTGTGCAAACAGCCACCCACTGTCATTCTGGGTGTGCCAAGTAAGGACAAGATATCATGGCAGGTCTGAGGCCAAAATACTCCAGAGTATTCTGCTCCTGGAGTATTTTGACTAATGCAGACCTGACCACAATCCAACACTCAAACCACTACACCATGCTGACTTTCTCTGCAAGAAACATGGGGCTAATGCTAATTGTTAGCCCCACCTAGAATATATTCATTGAATCAATTGAACATTCACACATGTTGATATAGTAAATTCTCATTGTTTAAATAGATCTACACTTTTCAAGGCTAACAAATGGATTTAGCCCAAGGCCAGCTGTTAAGCAGATATTCTGCCAATTAGTTTTTGAGAGAAATATTGAAACTAGTAGAGAATAGGAAACACCAGGTTCTAGCAACTTTAAAAAGTGAGACATGCTGTATCCCATCTTTACCTGCTTCTGAGCAGTAGCCATTGTGTTAAACTGCAAGACACCTGCTTAGATTCTTCAGGAAGTTTCAAAAGGGTCTGAACAGAATGCTTATTTGGGAGTCTGGTGTAGTTCTGAATTTTATATATTTTAAAAATGATACCTCATGCTGTCTGAAAGCTCCTGACACATACCTGGCAGCTTCTAAAAACAAGGGGGAATTCCCACATCCTCTCCTTTTTACAAGATAGTGGGGTAAGAACATTCTGACAAGAGCCTGACAAGAAAGTTTAATTTTATTATTTTTATCACTTTTTAAAACTACAATTCCTAAACTGTCCAGGGTTTAGCCATGCTGATGATTTTCTCCTGTTCTACAAAACAGTTGTTCTCTTTACACACTTTAACCTATTACAACTCATCTCTTCTCTAAAAGATATAGGTCTTCTGCATAGTCAATCTACTTTGTTCTTTAACACAAGCAAAACAGAATGTATATTGCATTTTGACGAATGGATTTCTTGGGGGCTTGGTTAGGTCAGACAGTTCTGAAGTCTGTCATTTAATTTGATCTGTATCTAATGCTTTATAAAATATGTGTCTGAAATCACCTAAGCAATGGTATCACAAATGAATCACCTTGCCAGTCCCCAGTGATACACAAAGGTCAAGGCCCCTCCTAAATTAACTCACTAATGACTAGTGACTTATTCACCTCTCTTTTCTTGCTTTAAACAATGGTAAGAGATCAAACTCTCCAGCTGACTTTATCCCAACATGTCTAAGCTGTGGAGAAGTTGTAAGTATAGCCTTCCTCTCCATCCCTGATTCATTAATTCTCCACTTTCTTTCTCATCACTCTCCCCTAAAACTTTTCAAAGGCCACCATCTCCAGCTCAGAACTCTCTGGGGGTCCATAACTTACAGTGAAAGAACTAGAAAAGATTCTAAAATGCAAAGATATACAACTCAGCACAAAAGTTAGAATCATACAACTTAGTGTATTCCCTATTACCATGTATATATGTGAGAGCTGGTCAGTCAGGAAAGAAGATAGGAGGAAAATCAACTCCTTTGAGATGTGGTACTGGAGAAGTGTATTGAGGATCCTGTGGACAGCCAAAAAGACAAACAAATGGGTCCTAGAGCAGATCAAGTTGGAAACCTCCCTGGAAGCCAAGATGACCAAACTGAGGCTGTCATACTTTGGACACATCATGAAAAGGAAATACTAATTAGAAAAGGAAATAATGCTGGGAAAGGTGGAGGGAAGTAAGAAGAGAAGAAAGCCACATGCCAGATGGATGGGCTTTATTAAGGAAGTCAGAGGTATGGGTTTGCAGGATTTAAGCAGAGCAGTCAAAGACAGGGGGTCTTGGAGATGTCTCATCCATTGGGTCGCCATGCTGTTGAAGGGATTCTGTGAGTCATGACCCAGACCCTGTGTCTTCACTGTGGCCCCATAATAAGCAATTCCACAAGGCCTGGTAATCCTGACATAATTTTGTTTCATTATTTTTTTTATCTCCCCTTTTTTTCAGAAGAAAAGAGAGTGGCCCTAGTTCCCACACTGCTCTTAAATCCTTTTGACACATCTGTGACACATTGTCTAGGAGTCCCTCTCAGCAAAAAGAGGAATCTGTTGATATGATGACAAAATTGGGTGCAGCCATTATCTCTGAAACACACTGACACAGGATGAGTTAGTTGAGATGTATGGCATCCTGGCAAAGGTGACGGAGATGTTTCTCCATGATGTCTCATCCCAGATATCTCATGAAATGGAAAGAGGGATTTTCTTGCATACCATCAAAAGGGCACCAAGGGTCACACCCTGGTGGTTTGTAATGAAGCAAGAACCAGAGCAGCAAGGAGGAGCTGGATGCTGTAAACTATGGGCTAGTCTACACTAGGGGCAACAATCTGAACAGACTCCTGCCCATGCACCTTCCCCAGAGCCAGCCCATGTACCATTTTCACTTTTGAGACATTAGCTAGATTGTCTAGACTACCTGACTGTCCCTGTAGAGTTTCCTGGATCCACTACCACTACTCATGCCATTGCAGCCGCCCCCCGCTTCCCCACCCCACTTGCCCCCATTGCTATCTCCACTGCTACCAATGTTGTATTTCAAATCATTTTAATGTCTGGCCCAGTTTCCAAACAGAACAGTGAGGTTCCACCCCTCCTTCAGCTGTGCCATCTCCATTGGCATGCCCATTGCTCTGAGGCAAATGAGGCACCTAGCATGTGATCTTGGTGCCTCCTCTGATCCTAAAACCAAGTGGCTTCAAGTTGCCACCACCAGCATTGCTAACAGAGGAGAGAAAAACCTCACTGTTCAGTCCAAGAACTGGCCTAGACTTTAAAACTGCTGTTCATGTCAGGGCAAAATCTGGAGTAAAATTCTTA